TAAATTATCATCTCCGGAGCTGGCTCGGATGAGTGCCAGTGACAGCTTCTTTCCTGCGAGCCGTTGCGAAAGCTTGTCGTGCTGCATGTATTACTAAGATGCCCCATTGTGTTGCTAATTGTAAGCACATAATTGTATCCCAGCGGTTTGGTGGGTCTCGAGGCTGCGAATGATGCGACGTTTCGAAAGCCGGTCCCTCGTGGCTGTAAAGGCGTTGTGCGGGAAACGTTAGCGCTCGTGAAAGCAGGCAGCAAAGTAGGACAGACTGACCCTTCGTGGAAGGGACCAGGCTGCCCCTTGCACATTGTCTGCAGGCATCTGCGCTGGGATCCTTGCTACGAAGCACACCCCACTGCCTCGCTGCTGCTTCACGCGTGCCACGTCCCAGCCATAAAGCAACATAGAGCATCCCCGGCAGACAGCCTGGGAGCGGGTCAAGGGACACACTATATGGGATGCAAAACCAGTGACCCCTAGGAATATATGAACACCACCAGAAACTTGTAGAAACTTTATATCTCTGTGTCAGGTAGGGACTTAACCAGGATTTGGGCTCCTTTGTGCTAGGAGCTGTACATACAATTAATACGAGACGCGGCGTCAGGGCAGAATTGCTATCCTCAGCTGACATGTGAGGGAGTAAAACATGTGTGACAGATGCGAGTCTGTGATATCATCGGGAATCCTACCTTCTTCCGAGCCCACCCAACGTCTTAATCACCAAGCTTCATCCTCAAACCGTGCATGACTCTTGGTGCCTGTCTGGGCGGCGCTGACTGGCTAGGAAATTATAGGCTGCCCCAGTGTCGCTCCAGGAAGGCACTTCTCTAATGATATGGGGTCCCCTGCTGAGTTTCATCCTTTTCATTCTGTATTAATACAAGTCCTGTTGACCGAACGCCAGGCAGATAAATGTCTCGGGGTAAGAATACAAGTGTGAAGCAGAGCACACGTCAGAAGTTACTGGACCGCTATAATTGTTTCCTGCTAGGATACAAGAGATGCTTTGGCATAACGCACGACTAGGCTTTCCTCCTTGAAAGATGGGCACTTAAGCTCAGCAGAAGGATGACAAACTCCCCTCCTTTATCTCCAGCGAGGCCTGCAGGAAGAGGTTGAGAGCAGGGTTTCTGTTTCAAGCTGGGCAAATGAGAAGGTGGAGCCAATTCGGGCAGTTTCAAAAGCTTTCAGAATCCAACGCGGCCACCGCCTCCCTCTCCTTGGCGTGACCTGGCCCGTCCTTAGCCTGGCACACGAGTACTTCATCATCCTTTGTGTATTTCCCCTCCCAGCCCTGCTGCTGTTCTTATTTCTCAGATCAGGAGCAGAGAGATTAAGCTGAACCTTTTCAAAGGCACCTAATGGATTTAGGAGCCTAATGGATTTAGGCACCTAATGGATTTAGGAGCCTACGCATCACTTTCAGAAGCGAATGAGGCACTTAGGAGCCTACGTCCCTTCGACTCCTAACTGCCACAGAGGATTTTACCGAAGGAGCCTTGCTCCGGGTCAGGCAGGAAGGCTGGGGCAGAGCGGGGCTTTGATTCTGGGTTTCTCAAGCTCTCGCCCTACTCCCCCGGCCACGGGTTTGCCCGTCCTCCCTCCCTCCCTTTCTGCTGCACCCTGGAGCCTTGGCTTATGAGCTTCAGTTCATTTCTGTATCTGCCCATGCCTTTCCCCCGTATCAGTAAGCACTGCTTCAAGCGCCTTGGGATGCCTTAGGGCTTGTGCTGCCGAGTGCTTTGGAAACAGGCCGGAGAAGCTCTAGGTCAGCAAACGGCGACTGACTCCCTGTCATTATGCAAAATAAAGTGGTGTCTCGCTGCAAGAGACCTGCATTTTACACGAGGCTCAAGGCATCCTCTGAGTTTGCATCTCCGTGCCCTGCTGTTGTCAGAGGGTTTGGCCTAGGTTGGAGCTGCTCTTAATAAGCTGTGCTCTCCAGCTGGCTTCTTCCTGCCCACGCTCTGATCGCAACTACTTGGATGCCTTTTTTTGTCATATTTATAATGGCTTCTATCAATACCAGGCTTTCTTTGCATTTTGGGCTGGGTCAGGCCAGATCCGGAGCTTCACCTGGGAGCAAATGACAGCATCTCCCAATAATTTCGGGGTGGCTGCAAGGCATCTTTCAGGATCAGGCAGATTTAGGCCTCTCTGTTCCTTTCTTCCTGTTGAAATTCAGCTTTCTCTGGGGTAGAAGTACAAGCAGTTTTGTTGCACGGGGCTTTGGGACAGGAAGTAAAGAGTGACATAGCCAGATGAAACGGAAAGGTGGGTGGGATTGGCTTCTCCCCCCTGCTGACTTCTGTTTTCATCAGCATCTCACTGTTATCAGCATCCTCGTGCTTCCCAACCTCTTGCTTTCATGATCTGCACCATAACTGGGTCTGGTGTTTGGGGCAGTTTGCGCTCAGGGGGCCTGGGGGGGACTGTGCATCTCAGTTGGACCTGGCTTTGTGTGTCTTCTGTCTCACTCTCCTAAAAAACAGTAGAGGAAACAGCTGCAGGAACATAACAGGCATTGGCTTTGCTTTCCAACTGGTTAATGTGGATCATTCTTCTTGGGCAAATGCTACATTTCCCAACCCAACCTTGAAGTCTGGTCCTGCCACACTCCTTGCACCACCGCCACCCCCTCCAACCCCCATGGTGAAAACTACCCTGGTGCCTCTGCACCAAGCTGCATCTTCCTCTCCAGCGGATGGACTTTCTGTGTTTGCCCTAAGATGCTTTTAGCTCAAGGCCGCGCCGTGGGCCAGACCCATTGTGGGACTGGAGTAGAGCCAGAGGTTCTTACTGCCATTAATGATTAAGGAGGTTTTGGGCAGGTTTGCAGTATGCAATCTGGTCTGGAGCCCAGGGGGTCAGCTCCAGCAAAAAGGGAGAGAAGCTGCTTGTGAGCAAACTGTGCTTCTTGACGCCCTTGTGCTGTACCTTTGGAGGGCTGTTAGTGCCTCCCACCTACCAGATGCAAGAGAAGTCAGGCTTCCAGGGGCCTATTGTACTTGGCTTTGAAAAGGGGTTAAAAACAGGGACATGGCCAATTCTGAGCCGTAGGAAAGTATGACTGGAAGGGACCTCATCTAGTCCAGCCCCCTACCCAAGGCAGGAACGTCCCTGACTGAACCATCCCAGCCCCCAACCTGCTCTTGTAAACTTCCAAGGATGGACATTGCACAGCTTTCTAGGCAGCCTGTTCCAGTGCTTAACCACCCTAGTAGTCAGAAATTTCCTCTTAATTTCATCCAAATCAGACAAAAAAACCAAAGTTATAGATATTTCATTGTTTCCCCACTGTACCCTATAGCCAGATCTCGGAGGCGGCTCCGAAGCACTTCGGGAAGCCGAACAAAGCCGCGCTTTGACCCGGAGGTGCTGCTTTGGCCCCTGAAGCGTCCAAAGCTTCCCCAGACAGCCTCGCACAGCCCTAGCTGTTACCAAACTTTGCTCAGTCATCTTTTCTCCAGGCTAAATACCCCTGCTTCTTTCAGCCATCCCTCATAAGTCATTCATCCCAGGGTCCTGAGCATTTGTGTTGCTCTGCACTGGATGCTTTTCCACCTGTCCAAATCCTTCTTGAAGTGTGGAGCCCAAAACTGTGTCCAGGTGAGGCCTCCCCAGGGCAGCAGAGAGTGCAAGAATCACGTCCCTTGATCTCGAAGCGGCACTTCTGCTGATACAGCCCAGGATGCTGTTGGCTTTTTTTGCAGCAAGAGCACATGGTCGCCTACAACCCCCTGGATCCTTCTACAGTTGGTGTAAGCACTAGGACAAGATAGCAGGCAAGGTGACGGGGGAGCACCCAGGAGGCTCGTGCTCTGGTGTGTGGCTTTGGAGAAGTCCCCTGACCCCTCAGCCGTGCCATTTGCTCAGTGGGGATCGTCCATCTCCACGTCCTAGCGGTGCTGTAAAACACCCAGAGCTAGAAGGTGCTATTAGAGGACACGGCATCAGGCTCCACCTCACTCTGGTGCACATGGGCCCTTGAAGTCAACCTCATCTGCAGGGCCCCATGAGCAGAGCCCATCTAGTGAGTCCGTTAACCAGCTGGACAGCTCGTTCTCTTCTGTATTTCCATGTTCCTGCCGTCACGGCATTTTCCTTGTCCTTCTCCATCCTTGTCAAGAGCCGTAAACTCGTGGAGGTCCCTAGAACAGAGTGATACGTTTGCATTTCTGTTAGGTTAGCCAGGTGGATCGCAGAGGTGCAAAGCAACCTCAGTGCATTATCCACCACCAGCCTGTGAGCAGAGGCCTGAGCAGGGTGGTCAGCGCCTCCCTTGCCAGCTGAGCTCTGCTTCAGTGCCAGGGCAGCTTGAGCCATGATCCCGAGTATACCAAAACTTCGGTGGGTCAGACCCTCACAGCTGGGTGCATCTCACTGAACAAAAAGATGTGGGAAGAAGGGGGAGAGAGTCATAACTCACCACCTGCTGAAGTCAAAAGGAGGATTTCGATTGACTTTGGGAGCTGGTGAAGGCTATGGGTGGCCATGAAGTCAGCATTAGCAGCACTGACACCTGTGCTGCAGAGGTACGTTAGCCAGCCTGCCTTCATGGGTATGAGGCCCGTGTATTGCAGGCAGCATGTGGAGGGCACAAGCGCAGCAAGTGCCAGGAACAGATGAACAACGGCTGTATAACAGAGATACAGCTTTCACACAAATATCCCAAGTTATAAAGAGCTAGGAATAACAGAAATATGAACTAGAAATATGACACCATCCCAGAAAATGCTGTCCAAAGAAATTTGCACAAAAAAAAGAAAGCATGGTTGTATCTATTGATTAGGCACGATTTCTTTTTCTGTCACTTCAAAGCACGTTAGAAAGGAGAGCATTTTTACAGGAGACTGAGGCGTGGAGCAGTGAAGCCGCGCAGCCCGAGAGCAGCAGAGCTGCAAACAGGATCCAGGTCCCCGCCCCCCGTGTCCCGCTCCCGGGTCCTTTCCTGAGCGGGTACAACAAGCCGAGTGATTTTGGTCTCTTGATCTCCGCAGGTTCGAGCCATGAGGCTGTCGTTCGTGGGCGAGATGGGGTGGGAGCTGCACGTGCCCAAGAGAGACTGCGTGCGAGTGTACCAGGCGGTGATGAAGGCGGGTGCCCGGCACGGCATCGCTAATGCAGGATACAGAGCCATCGACTCCCTCAGCATTGAGAAAGGTCTCTCAAGAGAGCCTCTGCATTGCGCGTCTCTCTCTGCTTTCCCCCCGTGGGCACGGTGCATGCGAGGCAAGACGAGGATGCTGGCAAAGAAACGTGATTCTGCTTTGTTCCCCCGAGTCTTCCCATGTGGCTGGTTCTTTCAGCAGAAAAATATCTCTACCTGCCTTTGAAAGCTGAAGCCGAGGGCAACCAGAGCGTTGGCTGAACCGTTTAGACTTGGTCAAAGGGTTGATAAAGGGGTGGACACCTCCCTCGCCCTTGTCCCTCTCCATCATTTTAGTTTGGACTGTGGATTTGGTGCTTCCTGCCCCAGGCTGAGGGCCCGATGGGCCGCAAGACTACCTACTTTTTGCTTGGGTAGGAGGCAGGCGTGGTCTGAGCAAGGGTTTCCCTGGGAGGATTGCAGCCCGGCTTTGCTCAGAGAGTTCAGAGCAGCAGCTCCAAGACCTGGCCTGCAAACCGGCGGTCTGCTCCTCTGGCTCTTCAGAAGTGACCTGAACACAAGGGGGCTTCAGGAAATGGGCAGTCATCAGACTTTTGACATTTTTCAGGGGATTTTTTTGGAAAAACCATCATTCTTAACAAAGGAGAGTCCTTTGAGGAGGAAGAACTTCATGGCCCAGTTTCACCCAGCTCTGCTGGGGCTTTGTGCGGAGAAGTTGCTCCAGAGAGGTGGTGGATGTCGGGTAGTCCAGAAAGGTGCAGGGAGGAGAGGAAAAAGCTTTTCAATGGGGATAAGTGTGGTAGTGACCCCGCGTATTTCCAGCTGGTCCATCCGCAGGTTTCAGGAGTTCCCAGGGAACAGCCTGGGAGATCTTCTAAATCCCTCCTTATTCTCTGCAGGGTATCGGCACTGGCATGCGGATCTGCGTCCTGATGACACCCCCCTGGAAGCAGGCCTGGCTTTCACTTGTAAACTCAAGTCTGGGATCCACTTCCTTGGACGGGAAGCTCTGGAGGCACAGAAAGCAACGGGAGTCTCCCGACGCTTGGTCTGCTTCACCGTCGAAGAGTGAGCACCACCTCCCCTGTTCTCGGCTTTGGTCTGGGGTGCCCTGCCTGGCTGCGTTCGGTAGGAGATTTAGGACGGGTGGGATTCTCTGGTCTCATCCAAAGTTTTGCAAACTGGGACGGATAAGCATTGGCTGAGCCACGTGCATAAGCTGGGGTTGGAGTAGAAGGGCTCGTAGCACCCCTTCTTCCGTAGCCCAGGACGCCCCTTCCCTGCTGAAAGTCTGCTGTGCTTTGGGCCCCACAGGAAGGTGCCTCTGTTTGGACTGGAGGCCATCTGGAGGAACGGGCAAGTCGTTGGCCACATCCGGAGGGCGGACTTTGGCTTTGCCATCAACAAAACCATTGCCTATGGCTACATCTGGAACGTGGACGGAGGGCCGGTGAGTCCGCTGGGCTTTCCAGGCACAGCGTCATGGCAGGGCTTGTCTGCAAACCCAAGTTACTCTGGCCGTTATCGGCTGAGAGAGATCTCTCTCCTCCCCCAGCAGTCCCTAACTGGATTAAACAGAGTCAGGAGGCTCCAAGGGGCGAGCTCCCCCCCACAGCCAACACGCTTGGCTCTCAAGCTGTTCCTTTGCGCCGTTCTGCAAGCCAGCACATTAATTGCAACCCTGTCTTAACCCTTCTTGAGGGGCTTCTGCCTGTTAGGGACACAGCAGACCTTTAATTAACTGCAAGGGGCCTTTAGGTAATAAAACAGATGCCCTAATTAACCCACGTGCTATAGACACAAAGATAATTAAAACTACATGAGGGAACATCATGGTCGGAGGACTGCAGATAAGACCCCAGGGACAATTTCAGCCTCAGACCTATAGCATGCAACAAAAAATGGGTCTTAAATTTGTGGCTGGCTTCAATTCACCTGACTGGCTTGATGAAGTCTAAGACAGTAACGAGGCCGGGCTTCTTAGCCAAGGGATTTTATGGTCCAGTTCATAGCCCCAAGCCAGTATCCTTCCCCTGCCTACTCCTGTGTCGAGGCTAGAAGGGAGCAGCCTCCTGAAGTGAAACAGCTCCCGTCCTGAGCTGCGGAGAGCTTTCCATCCCCATCCACACTCGCTTCCTCCTGGCATCTCCGAGCGTGACAGGCACCCGGGAGCAGATGGAGCCCAGACATCAAAAGGGCTCGGGGAAGAAATTTCTGATGGTTGCATCATGCCTGACGGAAGAGCCCCCCGGGCTGCGTGAGAGAGGGGGTGAGCTTCTCTGAGATGTAAATGCAACGCAGCGATGTGAGCAAAGCCTGTGGGATCATATCTCCAGGGTCAATCCCGGCTCTCTTTTTCCTGTGCGCTCTGTCCTTTGCAATCATCGGCTTCCCTATTAATGAGAGAGGACTGGAGGTTCCTGATGAGACGTTGATTTTTTTGCTAGGTTGCAACCAACCAAGGAGGTAGAAGGGGGAAACGTTCCCGAGGAACTTGGTCCTACTACACATTAGATATATGCAACCTTCATCTGCCGTCCGGATGCTTTACGTGCTATGAAAAGACAGTTTCCTTGACAGAAGAACTGAAGTGTTGCTCACTGGAAGGAGGAGTCAGACTTTAAAGGGCATGGGGCACAGGTCTAGGATGAATGCAATGTGTAACGTGGTGTAGCCAAGGGGGTCTTCATGGGAGAGGTTTGCTGAAGGGCTTCGCATTGCTATTGCCTGTGTTGGCAGGTCTTTCTTCCCACCCAGGTGCTTTTCACTTGACGCTGGCAGGACGGTATGCGCCAAGGAGAGGAAGAAGAGGCAATGAATCAGTGAGAGATGAGAAATGCTGCCAGACGAGGAGTCGGGTAGCTTTTTCTCTCTTCCGCTGGAGTCTGCCATAGTAGCGTCCAACCGGGCTGTGAGATCAGAGCGTGCGGGACGAGGGGAGGCCGGGAGGGGAGCGGGAAGAGTGCCGCATCGGGCAGCACAGCCGGGCACGAGGGGACGGAGCTGAGCGCAGCGTGGGAGAAATGCTGTGCAAAGGAATTAGCTGGAGTTGTGCTTAACGAAGCCAGACGAAGCCCCAGGTGGGCACTTTTCGAGGAGGGCTCTGTACGGAAATGGAAATGCTTCTAAAAAATACCCACCCGGATCTGCTCCCCGTTTCACTTGACTCAGCTGCTACAGCACGTCAAGGGCAGGACTGCTGTACGGGCGAGGCCAAAATCTGGTCCGTTCTTGGTTTTTTGACACGATTGATTGCGAAGGCAGGGTCTCCATTACGACAGCCGATAGCCCTGAATGCTGTTAGTGAGCGAGTGCTAGGAGAGTGTCAGAATTGCCCCTTTCCAGACTGGAGACTAAGACATGGCGAGGAAACTTGCCCAAGGTCACACAGCGGGGTCTGTGGCAGAAGAGGCATCCTGAGTCCCAGGTTTGTCCTCGAACCCCTGAGCCATCCCTCCTCGCAGCTCACAGTACTGAAAGCAATCACCATCATCGTCATCATGGGATCTCCTCCTCCTCACTCCCCGGCCCCATCGCACAGGATCACCTTCCTGCCGCGTGATGCCGCCTTGACGCACGCGGTTGTGATGCTCTCCAGGAATCTCATGCTGCGTTGTGGATGTGCCCCTCATCCCCTGCCTCTGCCCCTGCCCGGCAGCAGCTGCAGGTGTGCACAGAGCGAGCAGGGAAATAGGCTCCGGAGAAAGTGCACAAATCTCCTCGCTCCACCTGGTGCCGCAGGACAGGTGGAGAGTCCCCTTCTGCCCCTCCCCTGCAGGCTGCATGGGCCCCATCCTGCAACCATAACAGCAGCAAAAAGGGCTTTGGAAAGAAAATATTGCTTTTCAGAGGCCCAAATCAATAGGCTGCAGCTCAGACTCTGCGGTGGGCGTGAGTTCATCATCAGGTCGGAGAGTCTCAGGAGCTGCTTGTTCCTCTTTGAAGGGATGCCGCTGCCTCACTGGCAGGGCTGGAGGCCGTGCAGGCTTTCCTGAGAGCTGCCGTGGGCAAGGTTGCGTCCTCCCCATCCTGGCTCTGGAAGAGCTGGTCCCCTGCGGGCAGGGGTGAGAGTGGAAGGGGAGTGCGCAGCGTACCGCCTGGCCCCCCGAAGCCTGGCCCAGACCCAACTCGGGCTAAGTCCTAGCACTTGCTTGCACCCCGGACTGCAGTTCGTCTGTGCTTCCCCCCCGGCTTCTTCCATCCGGCTTCCCCTTGCCTCGTCGAGTCACGCTCGTAGCCCTGCTAACCCGCATGGGGCAGAGGTGCTCAAGCTAATGAGGCTGCAGGGGCGTATATGGGGACTGCACCCCCCCGTTCCTACAGAGGCAGAGAAGCGAGCAAGCCAGCGTTTCCAGCAGGCACCCACCAGGCCGCGTGATTGCTCTTCTCTCTATATTCAGACACCCACCATGAAGGATTCTGTGATTTGGCGGCAGCGCGAACGCTGCTTTCAACAAGACGTCTCCCTCCCGAGTCCTCGAAGGCCTTCTCAGGCGGCATTAACCCCAAATTAAAGTGATTGGGGCTGGCAATCAGAAAGGCTCGGCATACGGGTGGTCTCCTTCCACGAGGCCCCCGACCTCGTCAGCTGCCATTGTGCGGGGAGCGCTGCCGTCCGTCCGCCGCGCCAGCTCCGATGCCTCCCGTGGAAAGGCGTAGTTCATTAAGCAGATGTTAATGCGCAGCCTTAATCCCTCTGCTCAGTGTGATAACTCCCGCCTGATTTGCATGGTAATTGCCGTGGCAGGAGGAAGAGGGGAGCTTTGCAAGCGCGGCCTGCGCGGCTTGGCAGGCTGATGGATGGCACCTCGGAGAGGCTGCCAGAGTTAGGCAGTGGGAGCCCTGCTTGCTGGGATTCGTTTCGTGGCACGGTACCTCTGCCTTGGGGAGGACTCCACGTTGTGCACTGGGTCCAAGTCTCTTGCTCCTGCAGGCATCGTGGCACATGCCCCCTTCCTCACCCTCCTGCACCCCAGCTCAGACACCGGCATCCGAAGGGGCACAAATAGCCCATGTCGCTGCTGTCTAGCCGATACCCTTCTCAGACCTTGGACCTCTTCAGCCCCAGTCTGTCTGGAGGTAGAGATCTCACTCTTCATTGGCACTGCCGCCTGCAAATTTGTGACTCTGTTATCCTCCATCCTCCCACCGCAGAGCCGAGCTTGTTAGGGAAGATGGATCCTGCAGACATAGTGAAGCAATTAATTGCCCACCATCACTCTTCCTGTTGTGAGGCTGGTTCAGCAGTTCCTGCATGCCCATGATTTGCCCTGTGTGAACCTGAATCAATCTGAATCCCATTAAAACCATGTCGTGGCCACCACAATGCACCTAAGGGAACATCAAACCTGTATCAAATGCACAAGCTATTCCCCTTGAGCCAGACAGGAACATCCCTTAGCTTGTAACAGCATGGAGCACAGGGCAGAAAAGTTGAGCAGATGTTATTCCATCGGATCTCATAAGAATACGTGGTAAATAGTTCCCCGCGAGGCAGGGAAGTGATGTTCTCTCTGCTTTAAGGGTAGGTAAAAGAGGGATAGAAAGGGGCAACCCACTCATAACCACCCAACGTGTCTGGCCCCAGTGTGCAGATGGTGGTGTACCCAATGCACCGTCCTTGGATGGCTATGAGTGGGTCACCCCAAGCATCTCTCAGTCCATGTCCCAGCTGAATCGTGGGTGCCAGCACACGCTGCCCATACTGGCGTTATGGGTTGTAGCACCGGAGGAGATGACTGAGGAGGGAGATGAGTAGGGAAAAAGCAAACCAGAGGAGAGAGAGAGATCCCTGAAGATAAAATTCCAGCTGCTCCTGAATTATTGATGCCTGCCAGGCCATGGGGCTGTTGCCCACAGACAGCCACTTCTCTGCAGCCCGGTCCACATTGTTAACTGTGCTGTGGGTGTCCTGGCTGGCAGGGCTAAAATACCACCAGATCCAAAAACCGTTTCTACCGCAGGAGGCCTGAGCCTTCTGGCTGGTCAGCACAGGGTTTTCAAATGGACCAGACACTGCTCCCAAGCTGAAACAAAAGGCAGAAGGTGCAAAACTCTCGTCACATCAGCTGGGGCCGGGCTGGGTGGGTGGCCCAGTTCTTGTGTTTGGGGCAGTCCACGTTCTGCCAACTGGTTTGCGCACGGCAGGTTATTCCCAACGTGCTGTCAGCAGCCACCCACTGTGCAAGGGCTGGGGGTCCCAGACTGAGCAACTCATCACACACAAGCACCAACAGCTGAGAGACAGCAAAGGCTTTCGGATAGCATCATCCTAGGCTGGAGGTGAACCACCAACCCCATGGGAGAAAGGTGGCATAGCCCAGCTCCTTGAGCCCTGCCCGCAGCATTCAGTAGCACAGCTCTCAGCCGGCACAGCAGCATCCTCCGGCATGACTGTAAGACCCGGCTGCACTTAACCTAGGAGGGAGAGAAACATGAGGAGGGTCCTTTATCGATGCTGTTGCCTGATTTCCTTTGCAGGTCTCCCTGGACTATGTGAAGGGCGGTGACTACATGCTGGAGCGGATGGGAGTCACCTACCCTGCCAGAGCTCACACCAAATCTCCGTTTGATCCAGAGAACAAGAGAGTGAAGGGGATATACTGAGAGACACCGAGCCAGCCCATGGGCAGAAAATGGACCAAGTAGCAGTGCTGGTGGAAGGGGGAGGGAGGGAGGGATAGCAATAGTGAATTGTCCAGTATCCTAAAGGCGAAGTCTCTGAGCTGCAGGGGTGGCTCAGTGGCCTGCCGAGGCCTCTCATGGAGCAGGGACACATTTTTTTCCAGCCAAGAGTAAAGTTGTCAAAAAATGAATTCTTGGTGCAACCAAAATTCCTTTCAAGTTTGAGTCAAAATCAGGGGAGGGGAGGAGAGAAAATGAAATTGGGAGCCTTCTAAGTGTTTCTTCTGTACATCGCACTAAAGAAAACATTTCACCTTTTCCTTCCAAAGCATTGCTTTTTTTTCAGAATTGGTCTGACTCATTTTTCTCTTTTTTTAATGTTTTGG